CCCCCCCCCCCCCCCCCTCCCCTCCCCCAGACCCACACGCTCGGCACGCTGACACGTCCACACAACCCGGTGCCGGGCGACCCTCGGACCTGCAGTTCACCATCGATCTGTGCCAGAGCCCCGGCGCGGCGGCCCGGCTGTTTACCTTCATCGCGCTGGTGTTCATCGTGCCCTTCGGCAATTTCTTTGTCTACCTGCCGCTGATGCTTCGCACCTGGGGGTGGATCTTCTGGATCAACCCCATGCACTATGCCTTTGCTGGCTGCTGCATCGCCGAGCTGTATGGCAATGGCAAATACGGGCCCCTGCAGTTGTACGTGGCTCCGGCCCTTGGTTCTGGCCTGCTGCCTGTGGCTCCTGCATTCCTGTGCCCGGCCCGCCTGCCCGCCTGCCCGCCTGCCCGCTCACTAACACGCCCACCTCCACCACCCACGACCCACGACCCGCGACCCACGACCCGCGACCCACGACCCACGACCCGCGCCTGGCGCACATAGTGCTCTCCTCCAGCGGCACCACTACATGAACAATGGCGGCGGCGTGACGCATCTGATTGCCTCGACAGCCACCCTCCTGTGGGGCCTGTTCGCCTGTGTGGTCGTGGTCCGTGTCCTGTCGGCCATCAGTCTGCGCATGCGCTCCAAGTAGCCACCGGCCTGCCGACACCCCCGTGCCCGGCCATGCCCTCCTCCCTCCCCCCCGCTCGCCCTCTGGCCCCCTTTGCCGCAGAAGGGAGGCCCGGCAAGGCGCACTCGGCAGGTCCGCGCCGCCTCCCGACGATCTCCCCTCCCTGCCCGCATTTCGGGCCCTCCTGTCTGGTGTATCTCCCTCCCCTCGTGCCCTGTCCGCCCCTTTTCGCCCCTCTTGTCGGGGGGAAAAAAAAAGAAGAAAAAACACCCCCGGCTGTGCAATATACACACACACAAAAAGACTCGGAAGCACGACCTCGCGGAGATGCCAACGCTCGAGGTCGTCCCGGGCGGGCTGGGCTCATCAGACGGCGGCGATCGCGCGCGCGTGTCCCCGGGGGCGATCGGCACCCGAGAAGCGAGTGCCCTGCTCTCCTTCCCCTCCTTCCCCCTCATCCCCTCCATCCCTTTCGCGCAACCAGCGCCCAGAAGACACGCACGCCCACGCTCCTACCCCATACACATAGAAACACACGCACTCCGCACCCCGCACTCCCCCCCCCCCTCTCCCTCGCCTCGTGTGCGCGCGCTCGCACCATGCGGCCCGATCGCGCACAGCCGGGTGGCCCTCCACAGGCCCCCCCGCTGCCGGAGTCCCTGGCAGCGGATGAGTCAACCCGGCGTGGTGCGCAGGAGCGCTTCCTCCTGGCGCGGACGGTCTCGGCGCGGCTGAACCTGGGCCTGCAGGCACGCGCTGTCCAGCAGCGCCGGGTGTTTAGAACGCTCGAGGGTCGGCTGCCCGCGCGGCCGAGGGCCGACTCGTCCATGCTTTCCGGGCCGCTGGGGCCATGCCTGCAATGCCAGTCGCAGCCGCACCTGGTCAACCAGTGCACCCCGGGCACCTTCCTGTCGGATGAGGACTCCGATGACGCGGAGTTTGTCAACTACTCCGGGTCGGCCTTCGTGACGAAGCGCCTGAGGGCCAATCGTGGGTCGCGCGCGGCCCGGCTCCTCCTGCCCTCGGAAGACTCGCAACCGTCGCTGTCGCCTTCGCAGGAGCAGCAGCAGCAGCAGCAGCAGCAGCAGCAGCAGCAGCAGCAAGTCGCCTCAAGTGACCGGGCAGCTGAGACGGCGCCGATCCGGGCGGCCGGCTTGCGGCGGGTGGCCGCGCGACCGGCCGCCTGCGGCCCCTGCGCCGCCTTCGGCCGGGTGTGTGAGTGGCCGGCATCGCAGCCCCGGGGCCAGGGCCGGCTCACGCCGCTGGAGCTGGCCCGCCAGCCGCAGGCCGGCCACACGCGCGATGCTCCCTTTGCCCGGGACCCCACGCGGCCGGCCCTGGCCTGGGAGCGTCTGCCGGCCGGGGCACGCGCCTCGCCCATGGACTTGGATCGGGTGCGCCGGGCTCGGGACCTGGGCCACCCGCGGGCTGGCCGGCTGGAGGCCATTGCGCGGGATCTGGCCGCGGAAGATGCGGCCCGGAGGTCGGCCCACGGCGACCCGGGGATCCTGGCCCGGGAGTATGGGTACCGGGGCCGGCCGCGGGCCCCGGCCACCCTCGACAATCCGCTCGGGCTGGGGGCCGGCATGGGGCCCGCACATCGGGCCGCCTTTTCCCGGTCCTCCTCCTTGCAATCCTGGGACCGACGCATGGGGGCCGGGTCGCTTCGGCGCGACTCGCCCCGGCACCGGGGGGCCATTCGGGCGGCCGTGGCAGCCAGTCGCCGTGCGCAGCAGGCCCGCGCGTGGCCCCGACACGCGGCCCCCTGGCGCCATGGCCAGCGGTATGATGACCCGCGGCGCCGGCTGAGCACCACGGCACCGGCAGTGCGCGAACGGGAAGACCTCCTGGACCGCATGGATGGAGCCATCGCCCACCGGCAGTTCGAGGAGGGCGTCAATCAGGCAGGTGCGTGCGTGCGTGCGCGCGCGCGCGCGCGCGCGCGTGTGTGTGTGTGTGTGTGTGATTTTGTCCCCTCCTCCTGGGTTTGGCCCGGGCCCGCTTGCGCCTCCCCCTTCCCGGCTTCCCTGCTTGCCTCTCTTTTTGCCCGTCCCTCGCCCTTCATGCTTTCCTGGTGCCGTGCCCCGGGCGCGGTCGCCCGCACGTCCTCGGCACATGGCTGACACACATCCACACGTGCTCGCACACACACACACACACACACACACACACACATGGGCGAACACTCGGCCGCCCCTTGCCGTAGAGCCTAGCCTGACTGGCATGCGGCTGGGCGTGCCGTCGCTCCCGTCGCCGGACTTCCTGGCGCAGATCCACCATGCGGGGTCGCTCTTCGCGGAGGCGGTCTTCCAGGGCCCGGACAACCTGGAGCACGATCTCTTCGGGTCACTGGATCATTCGGGGCTCGTGGCGGTGGGCGTCCTGTTGGAGTCCATCATGCGGCACTCCTTGGGCTTCTATACGGAGGCCGTGCCGCCGGCCGATCCGCTGGCCGACCGGCGCACGGCCTTCGGCTATCGGCTGGGCATTGCGGAGCCCATCGAGCGCCTGGCCTTCGCCCTGCAGCGAGCCGAGCGCGAGGCCCTGCGGGCGCGCGTGCGGTCCTTGGCCTCGCACTCGCAAGACACGGCCGCCTACCGCCGGGCGGTGGAGGATCTGCAGCACGCGGAAACCGCCATGGGCACCGACCCGTGGGGGTCTTTCCTGGACTGGACCGACAGCCGGTCGCCGTGGGTGCAGACCGGCAAGCGGCCTGGCGCCCTGGCCGCCGGGCTGGCGTACTTGCCGCCGGTGACGGCCATCCCGCGGGCCCGGCTCGGCCAGTGGACCGAGCTCCCGGCCCCGGAGGACCGGCACCTGGCCGGCAACCGGCAGTTTGCGCGGGCCCTCTCACGCGAAACCGGCCCCCCGCCGGGCGACCACCCCGCCGAGCGGGCCATCAAGTTGGAATCCGACTTCGGGGCAGGGCATCCGGCGGTGGTGGGCGCGCGGCTGCGTGCTCGCGCCAGGCTCCTGCGGCGCATCGGTCTGGAGGGGGGCGCCGGTGTCCCCTTGGCTGGACCGGCCGCGGGATCGGCCGGCCCCGAGCCCGGCCTGGATTCCGGATCCGACTCCGAGAGGGAGGCCGGCGAGGCGGCCGCCGGTCTGGATCCCGGTGGCGCGCGCTTGCACTTTGGCCCCATGCGACCCATGGGCAGTGTGGTGGATGTGGACAGCTCCGATGAGGAGACCCTGTCCCAGCACTTCATCCCCTCGCTGGATGCGATCGCCCTGCTGTCGGACGAGTCCGATGTCCCGGGGCCGGGAGGCGCCGATGGCCGCTGGCTCGGCGATGGGGATGACGGGTATGGCGAGGATGGGGACGACGAGTACATCGACCGGGATGACAGCGAGCCGGAGCCCGACGATGAGGCCGGTGCCGGTCTGAGTGCGGGTTCCCTGTCGGAAGGGTCCTCCTCGGATTCCGGCCGCCGGGGTCTGGACGGGCATTCGGCCTCGGATGACCATTCGCTGAGCGACTCCTCCGACGGCGATTGACGCCGCCCGGCCTTGTCCTTGTCCCGCTGCCTGTGCCCCATGCTTCAGGCTGCCGCTGCTGCCCCGATGGCCGTGCTACAATGGCCGCCGTGTTCGCGACCAACCACCAGCATGAATAGACATCGTAGACACATCGTGGGTACACATGCCATGCTCCCATGTTGCTTTGTTTGCCTGCTTGCCTGTTTGCTTGTGAGTGCGCGCCTGCGTGACCATGCCCATGCCCATGTCGATATATGCGTGCGCAGGCATGCACATGTGTGCGCATGTGTGTTTGTCTATGTGTCTATGTGTGTGTGTGTGTGTATGTGTGTGTATGCGTGGCCCCCCGCCGAGGGGCGCGTGCATTTACATGGGCGGTCACCGACCAGCAGGCAGGCAGGCAGGCGGACAGGGAGGACACATGCCCAGGGGGGGGGGGGGGGTCATTTCGGCGCGGCCGCGAAGAAGGACGAGATCGCTCGCGATGCGCCGGCCGGGGGGCGCGCCTTGCCGGTCGGGCCCGGTCGAGCTGGCATCCGGCGCGCGGGTCTCGGCCCGGGGACCGGGCCCGGCCGGCTGCCCAGGCCGGTCGGCCGCGCGGCCGGCGTCACACCCGGGCCAGGCCCAGGGGGTCCCACCGATGCTGCCTCGTCCGGGCAAGGGGGGCCGGATGCGCTCGGCGCCGCGAAGAAAGAGGCAATGGACTTCTGTTGCGGGTCGTGCCCGATCGGCGGATAGTGCCGGGAGCAGGGCCCTGGCGGGGAGTAAGTCCCGGCGGCCGATGCCCGCTCGGCCAAAGCCCTGGCCTCCACCCGGGGACAATGGTCGTCGGCCCAGGCGAAGTCCACCACCACGGCCGCGTGGTCGCTCACACGCGGGTGGTTTCGCGGGCATTGGATCGCCTGCGCCAAGCGCCATGGGTGGCTGCCGGCCATGCCCGGCACCATACTCCGATCGGTGAGGATATAGTCAATCCGTGAGCCGGGGCCATTGGCCAGGGAGGACCCTTGGCGGCGTGCCAGCGCACGCATGTCCCAGCAGGTGTACTCTGCGGTGCGACAGGGAAAGGGGCCACACCCCGGCGGCGAGGGCCACACATCAGTGCGGGGCAAGTGGTCAGTCAATTGAACCCCCAAGTGGATGGGGAGCCCACACACACACACACACACACACACACACATGAGACCCGTACCGGCCGGGCTTTCGGGGAAGAAATGCCGGAAGGAGTCCACCAGGAACGGACTGGCCGAGTTGCCGGCAAGGGGGTGGCTTGCGAAGACGTCGCAGATGGCAGGCTGCGCTGCCTGGCCAGGCTCAGTGGGCTCAGCCGTGCTGATCGACCTGTCGATGTCACCGCTCGAGGCGCCGGTCCCCTGGTCCAGGGCGCCGGCATTGTCTGGCACGGTGGCCGTGTCATCGCTCGTGCAGGCGGCCTGAGTATGGTGGTCGCCGTCACCATCACCATCATCAACAGCAGCAGCAGCAGCAGCAGCAGCACAAGTACCGGAAGCGGCACTGACGGCGGGGGCGCCACCATCGCCCGAGGCGCCACCGGACAACGGCTCAGGAGGACCGACAAGGTTGGTGAGCCTTTGGAAAGGGGAGCGAGGAACAGCCCACGGGCGACCGG